AAATTAAGGACTTTGTTTTTGTTCGTAACTGTGTTCCAAGTACCTAAAACAGTGTCCTAGTAGGTGTTTAGGAAATATTTGTTGTTAATAAAATGCTTTTTGTGAAATTAAACTGGTTTTCCTTTTGTTCGTTGAATGTTAACATACACGTTCCACAAATTTGGAGGTAAATCATTTGTTAAGATTATCAGCCAGCCAGCATTTATCAAGGAATTTCTTTGTGCAGAACACACATCTTAACTCCTTTACTTTGGGCTTAGGTGCTGAGGTTCTACCTAACATTCCTATGGGGCCTTTGCGTGTCGCCATGTAATCAGGGACCTCTGCACCATCAGAATATGCCTTTTTCCTAACATTTTCTGAAAAATCCAAGGGTTTCTACTAGTGAGATAATCAAGGGCCCTTTGGTAGAAATGCTCATCTCATTGTCTGCAAATAAAAGGATACTAACTCAAAACTAGGATCTACTTAAAATTATTCAGACTTTTCTGGAGGATACTGCATCCTGAAATGGGAGACAAATACACAGATTTAAGGAGAAAAAAAATCCCTAAAATGCCTAGGAACTGTAGCCTCTGCCTTAAGAAGGCATTCAGGTGACACGTAGCTTCTTGCTCAGAAAGACTGATTAGAAACTGTGTCTAGATTTCCATATTGTACAAACAGATTGTAGCCTGGCATCCTCTGGATTCATATTTTCAAAAGTGTGGTTGTGAGTTCTGGTCATTTTTAAATTTGAGAAGGCATGTTTAATATACAGATGACTACATGAAATAATACATAGATGCTCTGCTTACTACCTGAAGTTACAAGGGTCTGTGAATCTTGAATACCTGCCATGCAGTGTTAGACATCTTCCCACTACTCTGACAATTCAGCTGTAGGAGCCTCCCCATTCTGAATTAAGGCCCCCTATATTGTTTGGTAAAGACAAGATACCTAAACGAGCTACTCTGGAGGGTGAGAAAAAAATAACAGAGTTGTCTCCAGGGATTTTTTTTTTTTAATAGGCTGAGCAAGGGCAAAACATCAACAGCTTTGCTTAATGCCCTAGTTAATTATTTTCAGTTTGGGATTCCAACTTTGGAGACAAGGACACTTGCTCATATCTGTAGCTGTCAAGATAGAGTTGTTTCATAGTGGTATTATTTATAATGGCAAATTGTTGAGCTTCTGCAACTTGTAAAATTTGTTCTGCCCAAAATACTTCTGTCAAAAATACAAGTATTATGACCTGTTACCTGGAATGTTTCCTGAGTAAGCAGAAAAAGTGGATTAATGATTCCTTATGGGTTTTTTGTTCAGCTATTTAGATGACATTTTGACATATTTCTTTGCTTTTATGTAACTTGAAATAATCGTTTTTAAGGTCTTGGCAAGTAGCTAGACCTCTAAGTTTGCCTTTGTTTAGATAGTTGATCTTGTTTAAGCTTCAGAATATCTAAAATTTTGGTTTAAACTCTCCTATTACATTGTCAACTTCTTGGTGTAATTAATTTTCTGGACTGTAGCAGTGGAAAAGGACCCCCATATGTTTCTTTGGTGTTGTCAATAATTAAGTGTTCTGTTGCTAACTCATTCAACAGATCTTTGTGCCCTACTATGTGCTAGGTACTGTCCTAAGCATTGACAATATAGTGGTGAGCAAGACTTATGTCTTCATAGAGCTTAGCTCTACAAGTTTGAATGCTGCCCACCAGTGATTGGATTTAGTTTTCTGTACTGTTTAGTCTTCCTCCTGCCATTGCTTCAGACATTTCTAGTGTTTAAACCATACTGAACTATGTACAGTTCCCTGAGAACATCATGCTCTCTGTGTCTCCTCTGTTGTTCTCATTACCCAAAATGTTCTTTCCTTATTTGTTTAGCTGGCAATCTCTTCCACTTCCCTTAAGATGTTTCGAAAGTTATTTCCTCTCTGAATCCTTTCCATGCTTCACTAGGCCATATTAGCTACCTTAATTTTAAACCATTGTGAAAATAAGTAAATACCCTTTACAGAATGGAATTTACATTTCTTAGTTGGAAAAACATAATTTGACTTGGAATTCCTGCGTATGCTTCCTTTGTCCCCACCTTCAGAGCCAGGAGGTTCTCCAGACTGTCGGGGTGGTTTAGCTGAGTAATGGGTTAACTTGTGGCACCATCAAGTGGTTCAGCTAGGCAGTGCGACTTAATTCCTCTACAAGATCAAAATAGCCCAATTTATTGCTGTGTGTGTGTGTGTACATATATATACACACACACAAAGTGGGGGATAGAGAATTATACTTAGGCCAGTGAAAGTCTATCAGACCATCTTTATCTTGAGATGCTCAAAACTTTACAGTATGTTTAGCAGGCTTTGTGATCTCTATATGGGAACAGTTTTTAATCTTGACTTTTTTTGTAACCAGGAAACCTGAGGCATAGATATGTGACATAGTTTGCTTATGTTCCTTCGTTATTTGAGACATAATATATGTGTATACTCGTACTGTTCTATTCATCTTGGTGAACAAATTTTTCTTTCCTTACCCTTTGTTAGAGCCTCACTGAACACTGCATTTCATACTGTTTGCTAGTCTGAGGTCTCTCTTTGGTTTGTGCTCTCATATACTGTATAAAGCAACATGGTTTTAAAATTGAAGACCGTTGACATAGTTTTGATTGTTAAGTGAGGGATATATATATAGTGATAATTCAAGTAAACAAATTCTCAAAAGCCAAGTCACTTAATTAGATGGCCCTGGGAATTGAAGTGTCTGGGGACATTAGCTTACTTAGTATGGGTTTGTGGCTGCAAGGACTGCAAAAGAGAAAGGTAGAGAGGGGCAGTGGTTAGGCCCTTGGGCTCGGAGGTTCTTAACGGGTAGGCTGACATTTCAGCTCACTTGTTAAGAAGGATGACTTGTATTCCTTGACTCAGACTTGGGAGTGGAAAAAGTATAAAAAAGAAAAAACAATACAGCAAAGCAAATAGCCTAAAGAGATGGGAACATTCCTTCTAGCTCTCTGCAGGTAGGAAATGCATAGTTTAAGTACATCTCAGTTTTTATTTCTACCTCTGGGAATGAAGTGTTTTATTTTGACCACCTGTTTTGGAACAGATCCTCTTCTTTAATAAAATGCTATAATGTATACCTTCTGCTTTCACAAATGTGAGATATACACAGAATACATTCACTCTTTGATGAAAAACCATGCCCAAGTTATTTCAGTATAGAAGGAACCTCTTGTATCATGACTCAGGAATTGTAACAGCTTCCCCTTATATTTTGTGTTGAATCATATCCCAAATGTAGCAAGCATAAGCCACAAGCAACCTGCCACTAGTTAAATTCCTCTAAAAGGCAATGTGCAGATATGTCGTCCCACACCAATCCTGTCAAGGGTCTCTTATTGCTCAAGCCATTTCCATTTGTTATATTGTACCCCCACAAAGAACAAAGGAAAACAGGGAGCAGATCCTCTCTTACCATAACAAAGTTTATGAAACTCAGAAGCAGAATGGTAGGAAACTAGAGAAGAAAAGTGGTAGCCCCAGCATGAGGAAGTGAAATGTTCACTTTAAAGGGACCAGAGCTGATAGAACAATTGTAATTAATCATAAATTATGAAGGAAATACTATTATCTCTTTAGGAGAATAAAATGCAAGAACCTCCCACTTGGTGGTTTTGTAACAATGTTGAGTTGAATCAGAGTGGAAAGAGTGTCCTGTCCTGAATCTCTGTTCTGTACATTTGTTTAATGCCTTCTTTTTTTTTTTATTTAATTAATTCTTTTTTTTTTTTTTTTTTTGTGAGGGCATCTCTCATATTTATTGATCAAATGGTTGTTAACCACAATAAAATTCTGTTTAGGGGGGTCAATTCTCAACGCACAATCATTAATCCACCCCAGGCCTAATTTTCGTCAGTCTCCA